AATATTTTAAAGACAAGTAGCGATCGATATATATGTAATCTAGCTAGCTATAGTAATATAGAAAATTTTAATGCTACAGAAAGTGTTGAAACAAGGAAGTAAAAACTACAAAAACTGAGTTACTTCAAATTTAAAAATATATATCCCTACTTTGGCAGATCACTGTAATTATGTTAGTATGAGCTAAAGTAGGGATAAAGAAATTTTAAATCTTAAGTAATTTAGTTTTTGTAGTTTTGTCTTTCTTGTTTCAATACTTTTTGTAGCATTGCAACTTTCTGTATTACTATATCTAGCTAGGTTGTGTGTGTGTGTGTGTATATATATATATATATATACATTGACTCCTACCTGTCCTTATTTATTGCATGAATAAATAATTGATCTTACAAATTTGCTGCTTTACGGTTTTCTGATGCACTGATTATGAAGAAGAATATTATATAGTTCCATACAATGCCTGATAGGCAAGTGAATTGGGACATCATTCATTATTACTATGTGCAACATATCAAGTTCAAAAATAGATTCAAATAAAAATTATAGTAAGAATTGAACATTCTGGTAAAAAAATGTGGTTTACTGTTCAAAATTTCAAACTAAAACTATTTTAACTCTTTCAAACCAGGAGGATGTTGCCAGCACCTGTTCAAAAATCCCAATTTATCCATTGGACAGTGACAGCTTTCAATAACATTTGTCTCCGTGGCTGAAAACTAATCCAAACGATGTTAGGCCACATATTGATCTTGGGCTCCTTACCTTAGGAAAGACATTGAACTGTTGGAAAGGGTTACTAGAATGGTGCCTGGAGTGTATAGGTTGTTATATGAGGAGAAGCTATTTTTTCTCAAATTGTTTTCTCTTGAAAAAAAGAAGAGTTGGGAGGGGGGGTCTTATTGAGGTGTTTAAGATTATAAAGGGAATTGATAGTGTTGATGCACCATCTTTTTTTCATATTTAACAGTGAGAATAGTTGGACTAGGGTACACAAATATAAATTTTGGCAAGGTAAGAGTCATTTTCAGCTAAGACGGTTTCATTTTTCTAACAGGGTAGTTGGCCTTTGGAATAGGTTGCCTTCGAAAGTTGTAGAGGCAGTAAATTTAAGTGAGTTTAAGAAAAAGCTTGATAAGTATATGAATGATAAGGGCTAGCTTTAAGATTTTTAAAAAAAATTATTTGTATTTAGTATAGAGGATGGAACAGCCGAGATGGACCAATAGGTCCTGTGTTGTCCCAAAACATTATGTTATTATCCACCTTTTATAAATAGACTGGAAATTTTATAAGGTACAATGACAATTATTAGGGTTAATAAATGTATTGAATAATTGTTCATTTTGAATTATTTTTTTGGGGTTAGGGAATCTCTGAAACAAGTCAGGAAATAAAAATACATATTTGAAGGGTTTTTTTCTGCCAAATATTGATTGATGTGCTTCATTAAAATTTTAACATACCTATTATGAACATGTTTTTTAAGAGCTCTATTCCTGGTTATTATACATGAAAAAGTCATACCGAAAAACATCATAATTCTTGCATTACCACCACTCTAATAAAGGACATTGTTATTCCCAGTACTATTGATCAGGATTAAACATAACCTCTCTAAACTAAAAATGTTAGCAAAAATTCTTCACTATTACTACAGCCTAGTGTAACTGTTTTAAGTACTGGGTAAGGGGAAGTAAGAGTAGGTTTAATATGACTCAAGATTTTTTAAATGATATACTTGTATCAGGGTAAATTAGCCGGTTGGTTGGAATTACAGTGTGAGTTAAATTACTAAAAATGTTTTGACAGACTGATTTAAAATTTTAGATTTTACAGATTTTGTTCGTATACTCTCAGTAACAGTAGGTTTGGTGTTCATAATAGATCCTAATCCACATCAATTATTGTATTTTATTTTCTGATAATTAGATTCATTGTTGTACTACCCAAATGAACATTGCATTTTTACTAACATTATTTTGTTTGCTCTTACCTACACTGACAATAAGTTCAAGAAGTGAATAATACATCAGTAATGTGCAGTGTCATGAACAGTGTAACTTTAAAATAAATTAATGTAACCTTCATTAAATAATTTTTGATACTTATACAATATTCTCAATAGATTGGCCTTGTAACATTTCTCAAAGGTTAAAAAACAAGGCATACATTATGTGAAAAACTAACACTATTCCCATGATTGTACTGTGTACTTGTCAAGTAATGTAACAGTGTTATTATAAAAGGAAAAAATTATCAATAACTGTGCACAATGTACCCTTTAATAACTGTGTAACTGCTTATTAACTGAAAAAACACTACTAAACCAATAAATAAACAATATACTCGAGTAGCTACTTGTAATATAATTTCTGTACTACATTAAATAATAAAAAATATTTTGTATTATTTATTTGTCCATTTCAACAATTAATTTATTTTCTTTCCTTATCCTTCATCTCCAGCTTCTGTAAAGGAAAGACTAGAGAAGTTGGCAAGACAAGCTGGAGCACTTAGACACTGGTAAACAGTTTCATGTATAAATCACATCAACAATCAACTTGGGATATTCATTAATATTTTGCTTTTACTGCATTAAATTTAAGATATTTCTGATCTGTTTCTTGTGAATGAAAAATATTTTTATAACCTTATTCAATTAGAAATGATGATTTCAGTACTTTTACGTTTTTACTTTGAAAAATTTATTTTGTTACTATGATTGGTTTACTCGAATACTTTGTGGTATTTAATCAATAATAGAAATACACCATTTAAAATAAAGTTATCTAATATTTAAAAACAGATATTTTGCTATATTTTTTAGGCCATAATGATCTTTATTTTTGCAATAATAAATTATTTTGATAGAAATGGTGTATTACTTTTATTAATTTGTTGTTGTAGCTTCATAAAGAACATAAATTTGTTGTATTTTGTCTGGATTGTATTAAAGTTTTTTTTGTAAATTGTAGTATTTAATTATCTAAACCATGTTTTTTACCATACATCTGATTGATCTGATTTTTAGACTAGATTTTTTTCTTTTAGCAGCAGCATTTTGTATTTACATGGGTACTATGTATATTGAATTTCATTATCCTTTTTTAATTTTTAACTTTCAAAATGGGCATAATTTTGTATGCATGTCTGTAGGTTTTAGGAGTTACGTTCAAAATTTAATTAAACAACTTTTTTATCATGGTATATAATTAAACATGGCAAAAAAACTTAGCTACTAATTAAAGTTTTAACATTATACAGGTTTTAAGTTCTTAATCTTATAAGGAAATATATTTTTTAAAAGTCCTAAATTTATCCTTGTGTCAGAATTCTCTAATTTATTTACCATTCCTCCAAGAAATAGGAAATTTAATATAAGTTACTCAATATAATGCTATTGCTCAGGCAAAGGATAATTTTTATAGCCTTCAAACTTATTTTGTTACAAAGATATTAAATAGAAAATCAGCCCCACTTGTCACACCTACCTCTTACACCCTCTCTTTCAGAAATTTCCAATAGTTCTTTCTTGTGTATAATACTATATTATTTATAACCAATAGACAGCCCAGGATTTAATCTATCAAATGTCATATTATATTATCTGGTTTTCTGTACAGAGAATTGTCTGTTTTGCTTCCAGTTCAAACTTTATTCCCATGGGAAACACATTGACGAGCTTAGCTGAATTTTTAATCTATCTTGTTACATAGGTAGAAAGCCAAAAAAAAAATTAGAATAGCTGTTGTCTGCTTTTTGCATGTCATTATTCTGTGTTCTTTTATGCATTATTTAATTACATAAAAAAAATTATTTAGTGCAATAATACCATTAATATAAAAAAAAAAAAAGTAGGGTTAAGTATTATTGACAGTCAACCAATAAAAAAGACCCAAGTAAGTACATTATTTCTTGTTTTTCATGTGTATTCTTTATTTATTATTATAAAAGTAGCTAAAATGTAAAAACTAGAAACTTTTTAGGTTAGAGTAGGTAAAATAAACAATAATAATAATAAAAATGTTCACAATATACGCTCCCAAGCAGCAAAAGTAGCTGTTGGATATACAAGACTGTTTAGTGTAAGAGTTATTATTTAGTTCATTTAGTGGTCTAATTTTTAATTATTATTCACTTTTTATAACAAGAGTGTCAAAAGTAATTATTTTAAAACAAGTGGATTGTGTGCTGTCTGTTTATTGTGTGAATTTATTACCAACAAGTCACAGACACCTACTGTAAAAGACTCCCAGCCCTCATATACATAAAACCCTGACAGTCAGCAACCCCACCAGGATTATACAGTGGTAAATGGTGGTAGAAGATGTGAATGACAGCAGAAATATGTAGGCCTACATATGCACAACTGTAGTGGTGACAAAAATAGTGTAGAGATTACAATCACACCATATAACCATGTCAACAGATTTTGATAAATGTACAGAAAGAGGTGAGCATCTTGGGTTAAAAGACAATGAACTACAAGAGTTTTTAAACAACAACAAGAGCATAGAGAGAAAAGATAGGATGAAAAACTAAAAGAAGAAAAGGAAAGAGAAGAAAATGAGAGAAAGGAGAGACCTATTGTAAAAGAATCCCAGTCCACACACACATATATATAAAACCCTGACAGTAACCCATACATTATGTAATTTGCTAGAGTAACATGAGGTCCATGTTTGCCAACTGATTTACAAATTTTATGGTAGGATCATTAATTTAGATAAGGTTTAAAGGGCAATAAAACTTAAGTATAAATGTATGTATACTGTTATGAGTTTAAAGCTACTTAGGATAATGAAATGTAGTTTCATGTTACAATTTGAAGTCCTTCTAGAAAGAAAAAAAAAGGGGTAATTTAGATTGATTTCTTTTTGGTGGTTACGAGGTCAGTCATATTGACCAACCTCATATATAGAGTTAGGGTAGATAAAATATAAAGTTTTACTAAAAATAATGTTTTATAATTATTTAGAAGGTTTTAGAGGTTACACAAATGAAACTTGAAAATTTTCAGAAGTATAAAAGTATTTTAAATCTAAACAGGAGAATCACTTGGACTAGTAAACAAAACTACTTGATATATTCAAAGACAAATCTTCATTAAAAACACTTAATTAAAAAATAAAATTTTTTGTGTTCAAAAGTCTGGTAATGTTTTTTGCAAATCTGCCAAATTTTCTGAAGATGCGCCTACTGTATTAAAAGTTATAATATGGAAACTAATGAGTACAAGATAGTTACAAACTTGGTCGATTCGACCAAGCCTGTGTTGAAAGAGTTACTTGTACAAACTCTTAGTATTGCAGTCAAATATGATAACATGTGTCTGTTAGGTCAGTGGTCCGCTACTGTTCCAGTGTTCTGGGGAAACTTGTAGACAGTATTAGTCCATACATTACATCGATCCTTGTCCAAGGAAAACAGGTAAAGTATATATAGATGTGAAGGTTTTCCTTTGTCAAAAAAAGACTGAAAAATGTGGTGTTTAAAGTAAAACCAATCTATTACAATTAAATAAATTTTTGAAGTGGATATCAACTGATATGATTTGCTTGCATAGCTAATCACATTTTTTAATCTTTTTTATGTAAAATGCAAAAAATGTGTGTTTCTATCATCACCAAAATTATTTTTAATGAAAAAGTTGTGATGAGTGAAAAAACAATATGTTAAATACAATATGAATGGAATATAAAGGTCAGAATGATGTAGTATTTTCTCTTCTTCAGTTTAATTGTTTCACCACATCCTAGTTTTCATTCTGTTGTTTAAACCTGACACTATTCTAGTAGTCTAAAAATTTATCCCATTTTTATGAATGTTAAGGCTTTACCTTGTTAGCTTATCATAATAATGTTTACATGATTCACATTGCAATAAATGTGCTTGCTTAATAAATAAGTTAATTGTAATGTTGGAGTAGAAGCTGCAGTGATGTATGGTGTTTAAAAGGATGGGAAGATTCACAGATGAGTTTCTTGTATGAACACCTGTTGAGAAATGTATAGTTTGCTTACGTACTTGTATGTTGCTATTCATCTCTCACTGTCAACATTTATGCTGTAATATCATAGCATTTGTTCTCATGTAGACTGGCTGAACTAAAACGAAGAAGTTGGATATTATTTTATATGATGTTAGTTCCTTATGAGAAGGATAAATATTTTTCTAAATAATCACAACCTGAAAATACTGTTTTGTAGGTATTTTGGCATTATTGTTTTATTTCTTCATCTAAACACATTCATCTTTACAAGTGAAAAACTAGTCTTTCAGTCATGCATTAGAGTTAAATGCATCCATAATTACAAATAGCATTAGAAAAATACATTTTTAACACATTGTGATATTACTTATATTATTGTTAATCTTTGTTTGAATGTTTCTTATTATCAAAATTTTTTTTAGTATGTCAATATTCTCTATAGAGTTCAGCTCTAATAGGCATACTATCAGAGTTTAGGATTCAAATTCATCCACTGTATGATGCTAATTTTAGATCACAAAGACTACATGTACCAGTCTGTTATAATGTTATTGTGGTATGAAGATCACATGAGTTAAAGCTCTAAGGAAAAAGAGAAACATTATACAAAAGGATCAGTTTTTACTTTTGGAGTAAATTTCATTGTTTCTATTTTTGTTTTCTTTTATGAAGAAAATGGGGTAATGTTGTGTCAAGGTACAAAATTTTTCATTCAGGCTATTACTTTTGTTTTATTTTAATTTCCTAGCTATAATTTTTAGATTGCTAAGTCGTCTCTATTAATATTTATCTAATTTGTACATAGATCACTGTGGGTGTGTTTAGTCATGAAGAGGTTGTCATAGACCATCCCTTGACTCCCAGAGAAATCAAAGATATTGTGTATTCACAGTGTCAGCATCATGACATTTATCAAGCAGTATTGCAACAAGAAATTATCCTATACATAGGAAGACTAATAACAACCACCCCACAGCTTTTTCATGGAATACTCAAAATACGCATTGGGTGAGCAACATTTACAGTATGATCTCCATAAAGTGAATAGCTGTTGTCTTCCAGTTTTATATGAAACTTTAAGGATTTAGCATTAGATACATAACATAAAGCTTAAACTGTTTTTGTATGGTTTAAAACTATATGTGTATCAGTATCTTTTTTGTGTATTTTAAGTGTATATATTAGACTCATCTTAAATCTTATTGGTGTATTTTTAAAAACACCACATGTCATAAGTGTGGCATCCTCAAATCATTTTTGTTTATCTGTTTTTCATTAAAGCATTCCAGTGTTCAAGTTACTTCTTAATGTTATTGATTTAGGAGAACAGTATATTTTTATTCTTATGTTTATTACTTATGGAAGTTGTGTATTTTATGGTAATGATGTATGAAAGAGACTATAAACTTCATTGTTAATATTGTTTTTATTTAATGATTAAACATTTTTGAAATATTTCTGTGAACCATTTATTATTGCTCATTTATATTAATAAATTCATGCTTGTTTAAATCTAATAGAGTTCTTGTAATTTATAGTTATTTTTGATTTGCACCATTCTTCATACTAATACAGAGATATCAGTTGTTCCTATTTTGGCAGAATTTTTCAATTTTTAATTCCAAATTATACCATTATGATCTTACCCTTTAAATTCAGATATTTTTTTTTACATATTTCAATTTGGAATTCAAATTACTTGAGCTTTTGAACAGTTACTTAACTGTTGAAAAACAAAAATAATCCACTTCGGAATAATAATAATAATAATAATAACAACAAAAAATCATGAAGTTGAACAAATTTGAAGAGCACAACAAAAATGGCTTGACACGAGTACTGGCAAACTAGAAGTGATATCTTGGTAGAATCATATAGAGGGAGTCACATGCATCTGGAGTGGAGGGTTGTCACATGCCGATTTACATGTGAGACACATTTGAACCAGTTGATTGTAAGGCTTATGGCATGCAAAAACCTTTTTTGCATAAAGAAGGCAGCAGTGAACGACAATAGCTATTTATGTGATAATAGGTAATGTGCTGTATCAGAATTACCAGGTTGTGTTTTTCCCAGTTTTTATTTCTCTTCATCAAACAGTTGTGTTTGATTTTCATTTATATAGGTTACTACTTCAGATAAACTACTTTCTACTAGCACATTAACACAGGGTACAGGTAGAGTGACTCATCTTTGGACTTATCAGCTATCATTTGCCGTGAGATTGATCGTTATATTAGTCAACCTGCTTCTCCTTATCTTGCCCCTATTCCCACTGAACCTGTTGACAAGGATTTTGACAGTCTTTCTCCTCCACCTGATTTTGCCCTGTCTGCTTATGCCCCTACTGCAGAATCAGTTAGGCCTAATAGTTTTTTTAGACATGATTTCTCATGTATGTTATATTTTATCCATTTCCCCAATTTCATACTATCCCCATCCTTCTTTGTTACATGCTACTTCCTTCTCTCAGTATTTGGTTTCCCCTCTTCTCTAGATATTAGAGTTCATGCTGAGCATTTTATTTTTCAGATGGTTGAGAGTGCCAACATGCCTCACCCTCCACAGGCTTTGGATCAGTTTACCTTGTTCTACCATCAGGTTGAATGTCCATTTGTCAATTCTCAACAGTTAGAATTCATGTTACCCGTGTGGGGGACAGACCCTGATCATCCTGTTTGTTTATCCTATGCTTATTTTTTCCACCTTCATCTTACCTACAGTACTTGTCTACCATCCAGCTCCTTTCTGAGGTGATCCATAGAGATCCTGAGGGCTTTTCGGGGGATTGCCTTTTCCTGATTACCTCCACATTGGCATGTTTGTCTTCTTCAACTCTAGCCTTACATACGTGATTTCTCTGTTGTTGGAATCTCCTGGGGAGGGATGCAGCCTTGTCCCTAGTTTGTTGACTGCCTACTTATCTCTAGAACTTAGATATGACCCCTTTTCTACAGTGGTTTGTTTTTAGTAATATTCCTGAGACTTTGGAATCCCATGGAGTCAGAGTGAAAGCAAACTTCCCTTTCTTCTTTGGTTGATCATTTGTTTCATTCTGAGCATAGACATGCCCGTATTACTGTTTCCCATCCAGCTCTTTCCCAGCCCTTACCTATTCTTATCTCCAGGGGTTCCTCACCTCGTCGTTTTTATCCGACACATTGCCCATAGTACCCGTGACTACTGTCTGGTGGGATTTTTCTCCAGGTTTGTGGATGACCAAGGTGGACATTGCAAATGCTTACCTGCATATGGACTTCCTGGACACTTTACTCATGGTGGTAAAGTGACTGCAGAAATTATATAACGCTTTCTTTTCTGACTGGTGTTCCTATTTTGAACTCTTTTAGTGTTGGCTTCTATATTAGTATGTAAATCACAGTCTAATTCTGAGTAGTAAGCAGTATTTCAAATCTATCATTCAGAAGTATTGAGTGATTGAAAACAACCACTAAAATGTTTTATTACTTAATTTTTATTTTCGATTTACAAGTGACCAAAAAAAATGCTGAGTTCTGAAAAATGTCAAATAATTTAATGCTTCAAACTGATTAATCTTATTGTACTGAATACTTCTATAGTGAAACAGTGCAATTTACACTGTTTATTAAAAGAATACATTAAAGATTTTTATTCAGCAAAAGAAAAACAAATAATGTTTTGTCTGTGTACTGAAATGTAAACTGAATCTTAAAGAAAGTATAATTCTTTTAGTTAAAATGTTTACAAAGTTGATGATTCATTCCGATAAGGTACATTACATCTTCTCACATAAATAGCTATTCTCGTTCAGTGCTGCCCTCTACATGAAAAAACATTTTTACACATGCCACAAGCCTTTTATCTCCCCTCAATTAAAATTGACTGATTCCAATGCATCTCTTATGCAAATCATTATGCAACATCCCTTCACCAATAAGAGTGCAACACACGACTTATGTTGTGACTCACTCTATTGCATTCTACCAAATTATCACTTCTCATTTGGCAGTATACTCATGTTCAGACGTTTTTTCTTTTGGTGTTCTTCGTGTGAATTGCATTCGTGATTTTGATCATTTAATTTCTGAAGTGGAATTTCTTCATTACTTTTTCTTTATTTTTTTTTCACAATCGCATATTTTACATCACACACATTTGTTTGATTTATATATTTCTGCAATGAATTCTGAAATTTATGTTCCCACTTCAGGTATCATACCTCTTACTAGCACTATATCACAAGCTGCAGGTGGGGGAGTCTCATCATTGGACTTATCTGCAATTATCTGCTGTGAGATTGATCATTATATGGGTCAACCTCCTTCTCTTGAACTTTCCCCACTAATCCTCATGAACAAGCCGAATCTGTTTGGGCTGATGAAGATTTTGATAGCCTTTTTACACCACCGGATTTTGCCATGTTTTCCACTACCCTACCTATAGAATCATCTAGGCTTAATATGGCAATTTTTGACATGATTTCTCAGGTATGTGATGTTTTATCCATTTCTTCGACTTCCTATGAAGCTTTATTACCTCCACATTGGCTCCTTTATCATCTTCGGCTCTTGCCTGACACACATGGTTTCATTGTTATTGGAATCTTCTGGATTGGGATGCAACCTTGTCCCGGGTTTGTTTGCTGCCTTTCATGTAGGGCCCTTTTTCTTTGGTGGTATATTTTCGCTCATGTGCCTGAGACTTTGGAATCACGGGTGTAATCTGTGCATCAACACTACCCCTTCCTCATTGGGGGCACGTTTTTCACAGTCTGAGCCATGACAAACTCCTGTTCCTGTTTCTCGTCATGGTTCTTATCTACCCGTACCTCTTTCAAGGGGTTTCTCATCTCAAGGTAGATGGGCCATTTCGCCAAAGGTACTGGTGACTAACCGGTGGGTTCTGGTCTGGTGGGAGCTCAATTGTATGAATTTGTTCCTCTTTGGTGATCTTTTACTACAGATCCATAGGTGCTTTTGGTTTTATCAGAGGGACTTGTCCTACAGTTTCTTTCCCTGCCTTTGTCTCAAGTACCCTTTTCCTTCCCCATGCCTTGGGATTCTACCACCAGCCAGCACCTGTTAGAGGTGGTACTCGATCTTCTTTCTCAACAGGCTATTGCACCTGTTCATCATCTTTCTCCAGGCTTTTATTCCAGGCTGTTTGTTGTCCTTACAAACACCAGAGACTGGTGGCCAGTAATAGATTTTTCCTGCCTCAGTCACTTTTTCATTCTGCCCCATTTTACCTTGGAGTTGTTTCTCACCCTCAGGTGTGCTTTTTCTCCGGGTTTATAAATGACCAAGATGAACATTGCAAATGCTTATTTGCATATCCCAATATCTCATAACTCATGACCCTCTCTTTTATTTGTTCTCTACAAGGTGGTTTATCTGTTTCATGCACTGCTCTTTGGACTTGCTTCAGCCCCATATGTTTTTTGGGTGGTCAGAGCATTCATTTGTCACTTTCATGCTCTCAGGTTATGCTTTCCACATTCTTTAGACGATTGGCTACTGTTAGCTGCTTTCTAACAGGAGTCCTCCCTTCCCACTCATCTGCTGCTTCTGGAAGCAGCTCATGTCAGTTGGTTAATCAAATTGTAAAACTCATTCTTTATACATACCCAATATCTTGTCCTTTTGGGTGTTTTTATTTTTCAACATCTATCTCGGTCAGGCCCACCCTTCTCTTCTTTGACTTCATTCGATGGAATTTCCTGTTCTCCACACTCTTACTGCACCCTCTATTACAGCTCATGAGGTTCTATTGCTTTTGTGGTTTTGGTCTTCCATGGCAGCCTTTATCCCCTTAGGTCAGGGTGATATGCAGGCTCTTCCGTGGGCTCTAACTAGTGGAATCTCCCAAGGGATCCTTTGATGGCTCTTATTACCCTTCCCCCTACCCTTGTCAACAATCTGCATTGGTGGTTACGCATGAGTCACACGTTGGCAAATGTTCCACTTCCTCCTTGTCTGGATTTACACATTTCATGTACACATCCCTTCTGGAATGAAGGGAGTGGGTCAATCAACAGGAAGCTTCGGAGTTTTGTTCTGCGACCATGGGGTCTTCTCATATCAGCATCCTGGAGTTTCTCACTGTAAATCATACTTTGGTTCATTTTCTTCATCTGCTTTCTAACAAGAATTCACAGTCTTGTCATGGATATGACAGGAATGCTTGCTTACACTTCTCACTCCATTTGAAACTTTTTTTTTTAGTGAAAATAAGTAATAGTATGGCGCTTTTGGAGAAACTAGTCACAAAGCTTCAATAGTGCAATTCAAAATCAGAGAAACTGCATACTTTTTGCTGGTCAGGGGTTGAAACAAGCCTTTCATCACTGCCATCTTAGCAGAATCTGTGGAGGCTCTACCCCTACACACAATAAACATGTCTATCCTCACATTCTCCTTCTTCTCCAGGTGATTTCGATCATCCTTGCTACTCCATGTTCAGTTCTTCTGATAGCTCCTAACTAGCCATCTCAGCTGTGGTTTCCACAGTTCTCCAGCTCCAACTTCCTCCTCCATTACCTATTCCTCTGACTCCATCCCTTCTTTGTCACTCTCAATCACTGGTGCTTCATCTGGTCCTTCCTGTCCTCCGTCTTCTCACCTGGTATTCCTCCGGTCCTTGGCAAGGATATCCAGCTTCTCCCAATGGTTAGCTTCTTTTCTGGCTTCTTCTATTTGCCCTTTCTTCATGGAAATTTCTCAGTGTAAATGGAACATTTTCTGTCATTTGTTTCTGGGCTCAGGGTTTTACCCTGATCAACTCGCTGTTCCTCATAATGCAGATTTCCTCAATGTAAATTTCTCAGTATAAATGGAACATTTTCTGTCATTGGTTTCTGGGTCCAGGGTTTTACCCTGATCAACCCACTGTTCCTCATAATGTGGATTTCCTTGCTTGGCTTTTAGATTGGGGATCTTCTGTCTTCTCAATCTCACATTTTTGGGCTAACTTGTCCCACATCTTTTGTTTTTCTTGATACCACATGGTGTATATCTCTCCTACACTTTACCTGTTCATGTGCTCCTTCTTGATTCCTTGTCCACCACAGCGGGCTGCCCGATCAGATTAGGATATTAATGTGGTCCTGCACTGCATCACTTTGCCTATGATCAAACCACTGTCCAAGTGCTTGTTTCGTGTACTCTTTATCCTTCTACATATCTTCTCCTTTATCCAGATAATTTTTTCTCCCTATCACTTCAGCGGCTCATAAGGTGAATTCCTCTGTTTAGCCGATCTCCCTTCCTTCCATTTCTCACATTTATCCTTAGCCTGATCCAGATAGATTTCTTTGTCCTGTACATGCTCTTCACTGTTATATTGCCTGTACGGCTTTCTTCTGTGGTTCCCATTCCCACCTCTTTCTTCCTTGGCAGCCGTCGCCTGTTCATGATCTTTCTCCTTCCACTTTCACCAGTTGGGTTTGGCTCTTTATTTGATTGGCTTATTCCTCGTTATAGTCTTCCTCCCATTCTTTGTTCTGGGTGTTTTCTCATCCAGTTCGACAACTTACCTTTTCATTGGTGTTTCATCTTCATCATCCCTTGAAGGTAATTCTTCAATTGAGCATGTTGAATACACATAATACGTTCATTTGCATCGGATCACGGTTTCTTCCTCTCTGGGCTATTGTCTTCCACCTGTAGCCATTCTTCAGACTTCAGTGAGACTTTGGCTGGGTATGTTATTTTTTTCTTATTCTTTACTTTCTTTTCAAGGGGTCTTTTCCCTTTTATTATTAATCAATGTTGGATCCCACTCTGTAGCGAGTGGTGCCTGACCAGGTATTCTTTAACTTATCAAATCCACCCTGTAAGGCCATATTGACTTACATATTATATTTCCAATGCACAATGCAGAGATGGGGTGTTCCACAAGATTGCTTGTAGGTTTATCCTCGCAATGGAATTGCTTAAAAACTATGCCTGTCCTAGACCGTACTCATCCGTGGACTACATGGGTAAAGCAGAAGGTGATAGCTGCCCATCCCTGCAATGCCTTGTATTGAATAAATCAGTATGGTTTGCTTCTAAAAATAGGGTTACGTGGTCACCCATTGCACTGTCTCTGGTGTTGTCATTCCTCTGGACTCTCCACCATGTTTTCCCCCCTTTTCTTCTAGTGGAGTTTGAGAGTCCTTACCACTTTCCAGTTCCAAGCTGCTGGGGAGGTGAACCATGGAGGCATCCTTCTGAATGGGTTAATGAAATACAAAATACAGACAGAATATATAAATGATTATAAAACCATTCAGTTGAGAGTAGGGGGGGTGTTCTGCTGATGTAAATAATGTGATATTCTCCAGTATGAAACAGGTGTAAATGGGAGAGAGCCATCAAAATTGCAGTTCATCCCTTTGATTGTGATCCCTCATCCTACCCCCACATGGATGTTGGTTCCCATTGGCTGGGTTTTGGATTTAGAGTTGAATCAATCAACATAAGTTCTCACACTCACGTATTACAGATGTCTATATTCCTCCCTCAATTATACTCTTGTTACTCCATGTGTGTTGTGGGTCACGGTGGAAGTACTTGCAAATTATTATGGTTTTTCCCCTTCCGCTATCACTCAGTTTTTATTATTCTGAGGATATTACTGTGCTTGTGGTGGTTCCAGTCGATTTCAATTTGAGGGAGATGGTTTACATTACGCAAACACCTCTTTTCTACTTTCACCAGATGGCTGGGTTTTGGATTGTAGTTGACTTGCTACTGGTATGATCCTCTTTCCTACCCCCCACTTGGATTGATGTCAGTACCCAGTGGCTGGGTTTTTGATTGTAGTTAGCTCACCAATGGTATGATCCTCATACTACCCCTGCATGTATTTCAGTTCCCAGTGGCATGGGTTTGAGATGTAGTTAACTTGCTGTGTACGGTCCATCACATCCTAGCCACTCTACACCAAGGACACATCCTTTTAATTTTACCCACTTTTATATTTTCTGGGATAGAGTTTCATAAATATTATATGGTTCAGATCACAATCTGACCTTAGTTCTCTCTCACTTGGGTGTGCTCCTCTGTTTTCTGCCCATATGTGCGACATTTTTCTTCGATGGGCGTAGAGTATACCTGGTTCATTGCAGTCCCCCACATCAGATCTTAGAATATGTCTGTCTCATCTTAGGGAGTGTCCTTCAGATTCTTTCAAAGGATGCTTTTTTCTTTCCCTCACACTTGTCCCTCCACCTATTCAATGTGGGATTCTAGCTATTTATGTGTGAGAGAAGGTAATGTACCATATTAGAAGTTATAATTTTCCTATACTGAAAATGTATTTTTGATAGGTACTTACTTCCTACCCTTCCTCTCTACTGAAAACTGGTGCTTCCATTTTCTACTAAAACTCGAAGTATTAGTTCGGTAGAATTGAATAGAGGGAGTAACATGCTTCATGAGAGGGTGGAGGATTGTCGCATTATGATTCAGGGGAGATAAAAGGTTTGTGGCATATGTAAAAAACATTTTGCATACAGAGGACAGCAATGAATGAGAATAGCTATTTATATGAGAAAAGGAAAGAAGCTATTCGAAATACATTTTCAGTATAGGAAAATTGTAATTTCCCATCACTGTAAATTTCCTTGATGATAGGTCTGAGTTTCTGTATAATTATAGTTTCATTAATTCTGAGATCCCAATCATTCAAGGCTGTAACTAAGATAATAAACTACAGCAAGCTACTCAACATTTTTATAATCTATGTAAATTATGTTTAATAATACAAGTTTGAATTTGTAATGATTTTATGATATTGAATTTTATTTGATTAAATTGCAAAAACAAAAACCCAAAGTCTAAATACTAATTTACATATTGAATGTTTACACCTAGAGTCAGTTGTACTAAACACAGTAATTATGTTTGTATGAAAACTAATTGATCTACATTTTGGAGTTATTTTTCGTATAAAGCTTTTTGTGTGTAAGTAATTACCAAGTTAACAACATTCTGTAAATGTTTTAAAAATCTGGTAGCATAACATAGGATTTAATGGCAAAATGCATTCATTTGATGAAAGAAGAATAAAATGACAAATTCACCTTGAATCATGACTGCTTTTCAAAATATGAACTTTGTATATCTTGTATTTGTAACTATTAAGGTAATTCTTCCTTTGTTGTTTAGGTGGGTCATACAAGCAATAATACTGCACATGAGGTTCCTAAATGAAAACCCACCTGTAAGTAATATTAGAAATTACTTGTTTATTGTGATTTTGCTATATATATATAAAGTTGACTTGTATTTTTGTTTTTTATAGCATAACTATTACATAGAATAACAAGAAGATAGATTATGAACTTCAGTTTTAAATTACTTGTATGCTTGTATCATAAAAAAACATTTACATCAATTTATATCTTGTTTTTTTTATTTACATGAATTAAGTGTAAACTGATAAATCACTAATAGTGACTTATGTTCCCTCAGTGTCTAGAGAGTCTTGCTCCTAGTGAAGTCAGAAAGGTTTTGTACAGAGTTCTGTCTCATGCAGACCATGGTGGCGGGTATGCATTTAATATTATATTGTATTTCTAAAGATTTAAGGAAAAAATATGAATAAGTATTTAACCTTATTTTGAGCTCTTGTCTTTCTTCAATTTAACATGGTAAGGGGGAGATTTTTTATCTGTGTATTGCTGTTACTTACCCATCTCAAAAAGCAATACATTTTTGGTGGCCTTACACCATCTTCAAAATTCTAACCAATACCAAATTGTAGTTCTTATTGCATACTGTTACACTGCAATATTATATTCATTGTTTTGTTTTTTATGTAACTTACTGACTTGCACATTCAAAATTGTTTTAAAATAACTTACTCAATACATTTTTTTAACTGTGTACTTAAAGAATGTCAGGTCATCAGAAACGCCAAATAGAAGGTGCTCTCTGCAGAGTTCCAAGGAATTTTTATGACAAAGTATGGGACATAATGACTCGAACACCAGGTGGCATAGTAGTAGCTGGTCATCACCTCCCACAGGTAAGAGCACTTTGTACTGTCGCATTATATACATCCTAAAACATGTAAAGGTATTTAAGTTTTTTGCATTCTGCAGTGTATCAATGACTGAAGTTTAGTAGGGTTTATTAAAAGTATTGTACATATTAATTATTTTATGTACTGAATGAATGTACCAAAAGTTGTATATATATATATATCTAAATTGAAACCTTGATAAGTAATAATACGGAATGATTTTAAGGATCTAGTCATTTGAAATTAATTCTTTTCAATTTAAATTCAGCTTCATTACATGTATTTGAATGTAAACTTAAACATGTGCAAGTCATATGAGAGAGAAAGAGAGAAAAAAATTGTGTGTTGCAAAGTTATTCACCCCCTACCAACAATGTCACATTTTGATGAAATACAAGTAATATAAATAAATTTTTTAATGAACTTGTTTTTATTCAAAACTCAAATGATCAAACTTAACACTGATATGTGTGAAGGAGGTTGAATATTAGCAAAACCTGCAAAGAAAATATATATAAATTGAAATCTGCTGATTGCATGAGAATCCAACCCCCTAAGTCGGTACTTGGTGGAAGCACTTTTGGCAGCAATTACTTCTGTGAGTATACATCATCAATATACCAGTCTTTACAAAATGCTGGCGTGTATGAGAGAGTGGCAAGAAAGAAGCCATTACTGAAAAAGAATCATCTTAAATCTTGAATGGAGTTTGGGAAAAAGTATGTAAATGATACTGCAGACATGTGGCAGAAGGTTTTTGTGGTCGGACGAGTCAAATATTGAGCTCTTTGGTTTAAATTCGAAGTGTTAGATCTAGTGCAAGCCCAACACGGTACATCACTCAGTGAACACCATCCCAACTGTCAAGCATGGTGGTGGCAGCATCGTGTTATGGGGATGCTTCTCATCAGCAGGGACTGGGAAGCTTGTCAGGACTGAGGAGAAGATTGATGATGCAAAGTATTGGAAAATCCTAGAGGAAAACCTGCTTGAGTCAACCAATAATCTAAAACTGGTTCAAAAATTCACATTTCTGCAGGACAATGACCCAAAACACAAGGCCAAAGCCACACTGGAGTGATTTCAAATGAAGAAAGTGGATGTCCTGAATGCCCAGTCAAAGTCCTGACTTTAATCCCATAGAAAATTTATGGCGAGGCTTGAAGATTGCAATCCACCAATGAACTTGTCAGAATTGGAGCAATATTACCAGGAAGAATGGGTAAAAATTACACCATTCCATTGTATAAAGCTGGTAGAGACCAATCCAAAAAGGAACACTGACTTCCATCTCAGATATGTAACTTTGCAAATCTTTCAAAGTCACTCTTGGCTTCACAGTGGCATCCCTAACCAGTTTCCTAATTGCCCGACTGCTTTGTTTGGGAGGGCAGCCTCATCTGGGTAGTGCCTGGATGGTATGAAGCAAACTCCACCTCTTAATGATGGAATTCATAATACTCAAAGGGATAATCAATGACTTTGAAATTTTCTTTTTACCTTTTTCTGATTGGTGCTTCTTTACCATTTTATCCCTGACTTGTTGGAAAGCTCCTTGGTCTTCATGGTTAATTTGTCATATCACTGTGTGAGTTGTGGCTTAAGTAGTTGCATTTACTCTAAAGTCAAATTAAACCACTTTTATTACCTACAGACAGAGACCATTACACTAATTTTGTTACATTTCAAACTGATCTTTTGCACCTGAACTGATTTAGGGTTTCTGTAGCAAAGTGGTTGAATACTTATGCAATTGAGAATATTGTAATTTTCTTTGAAAATCTAACTTACTTACATAATATCAGCATTTTTTTAGCTTTCTCAGTTTTGAGTAGATTGTGTAGATTCTAAAGTCCCATTTGAAAGTTTCATGATTGTGAAGCACTTTAAAATAGACAAATGCTTCAACAACACTCTCTCACAGGCTAACTACAGACTTATGGCCTTGTTGCAAAATATTAAACAAATGTTTCAACTAAGCTTTCTCATGATCTGAACTGCAACTACAAAATAAACACATGCTTCAACTAAGCTTTTTTATGAGCTAAGCTATAGACTTGCAGATGTGTTGCAAAATGTTAGTTGTGAAATGCTAACAAAAGGTGAATGTTGAAAACATCTGTCAAGAACAACTCGCATTGTATTAAACATCGTCTGCATATCAGTGAGAAGTGAGAGGATTCTCTTGTAAGGTGACTCAAACTTACAGTCTAAACAAATGTTTTCATGGATGTAAATATATCAACAATTGTAATCTGGTCGGAAAGATGTTTATTCAAGACACACTAGACAGGATGAGAAATTGTATACACAGGTAACCTTTTACATCATTTGACATCCAGTTCTGGGTCACTGAGCACCAATAACGAAAGAGAGACGAGTCCACTCTTATTGCTGGACCAGTCACCTCAAAGTCTACCCCCATGAGTTTGAATGAATTATGCTGAAAAACCATTTAAAAAGTGATGTCTCTGGAACAAAATGGTTGTTTCCAGCCTCGAGGTTGCTCCAGGCAGTTCCAGTTGTTCCAGGCTTTCCAGTTGCTCCAGTTTTCTCAGATATATACAAGAACACAGAATGGCAGTTTATCTGTTTGTGCAAGACTTGCACTACACTAACTCCATACAAGTTTTAATTGCTACTCTCCTGTAACTAATAATATTGCGATGAGGAATTATGATGTATAATTTAAAAGTTGTTAAAAGTTAACTGAGTAATGTTGATAAGGTGTTATGGTAAGAAGCATTATGGAACTAATGAATGTGGTAATCAATATAATGTTTATTGTTAATGAAGTATAATTATGTTAGTAAGTGTTAATAAAGCATATATCTTTTTGCGTAGAATTAGGCTCAGTATCTTTATTCCTTGCTTTACTTGTAAATTTCTTTAATTTGTTTGTCTCGTTGCCCCAAACGATGCTCACTCTGCAATTGCAAACTCAGACAGCAACAAAATGTGGAACTTTGCAGGGCACTGTATCAGTAAAGTAGATTGTTTAAAAAATATACTTCACCAGTTTACTCTTGAATTATGTTTCTGTTTGGATGTTGTTACACATATGGTTTGTTCTAAGCTACATATTTTGTTGTCATAATATTTTTATTCATCTTTAAAAGATACATGAAAAGGCTAGTTGAACAGAGGTCTTAAAGTTGAAAGTTGCTGCAATACTGTTATGATATGATGGATGAAAATGACTGTAACAGATAAATGTTTATTAATACCATTAACCATAGACACACACACACACACAGATATAATTATTGCACAAAGTTAAACTGTTAAAAACTTAGTGTGATAATCATGCAGTCTTGACACTAGGTACATCCATCAAAACCATAAACTAATAACATAGAACTTCACCACCAATATGTTCTGACACAAATAAAGCATACAGTACTTGAGTTGACAAAACATTCATTAATAAGTAGTATGTGTTCTGTTAAATCTCAGTGGAACTTGTAATCATTTAAATTACATTATTATTTTCAGGCTTAATACAAGTTTCCAGTAAGAAGTATATAATATTTAAGCTACACATTATTTCTTATATACTTCTGCCAACAAAGTTTTTCAATCAATGTCAGAGCTAGTAAGTCCAAATGGATTACAGCAATCAAAGACTTAATAGAAATGCTATTTATAGTGGCTGTTTGTGACATCAAGTTCTAAATTTATAGAACAATTACCTTAACACCTTCTCTGAATTTTTTTTCTTTCTCAGTGCCACTAACACATTGATCTATGTGGCCAATTTCTTATAAGACAAAAGCAGTTTTACTTTTCAGATTAGAAACTTGTTTAGCTACAAAAAATGAAGATGTAATTGATGGTACAAGTCAGTTTTATTGTTAGATTAATGTTAATGTATCTGAAGTTCATTCAATATATTATAAGATTTTATAAACCTTGAAATCAACATAGTAATAAAAGGTCTAGGGATGTGACAAGTATCCAATTGGATGTTGCACTATACAGTGAAGTGCAATCAGTTTTTATATTACTTAATTGGATAACCAGATAGCATTTCCATAAACTGATTATCTCACAATATTACAAAAGTATCATACTACTACTAACTTGCATCATCTAACACACTGGTGCTTACTACAAGCTTCTAAACATAGTATCACTTTTTTCATTAGTCATGGTAGCAACAGCAAACACAATTCAAAGGACAATATTGACAGGGATCATGATGTTAAGCACTAAATCAAACTGCCATGTGCTGCATTCATTTAAAGGGTGTAATGGGGTGGGAAATCATGGGCATGGTATACCTGTACCTTTTTTTTTTATTTAGTTGAATGCCTTACTGCCATTATTTCAAACAAATCTCACCTTACCTAGTCATGCAGTAGATTTTAAATTCTGGCACTTCTTTATCTAGCACTACTCCACTGACCACACATTCGTGTGGAACTGAACATCCTTATTGAATTTTCAAAAATCAATGACAAAGTAACTACTTTAGTACTTTACTATAAGGAAATAGTAACTCATGCCTGTTGCACATTTTTACTATTTATAGCCACATCTGTTATCCTATCTAAGAAAATCTGAATCTGATTGGATATTAGGAGCTAGAAATTGAATATCCAGCCAAAAGCACTTTGTACCATCCTTGTAAAAGACATACATGTCTTCAATTTCTAACCAATTTAGTTTACATAACCATTGTTGAAAACAGCATTTTGCTACACAAAATCTGAAATTTATTTATTAAACTTTCTTTTACATTATTGTATGTGGTTACCAGTGCTACAATTTCATAATTTAACATGTTTTGTTTTTTAAAGAGCAGTTCATAACTGCCATAAATGTTAAAGTAAAATATATTACTTATTTTTTATAATTTATCAGTGATAAAGAACTCTTGCAGTATGTATTGATGAAGCACCTACTTTTCACATTTACTCCATATTATTTAAAACAACTTTAATTCAAATGTACAATATTCTTAGATTATACTGTATGTAATATTTAATTCAAATATGTATTTTCACTATGTACTAATTAATTTATATTGTTTTGATGTGAATTTGTATGTTTTTGATATTGTGTACACATGCATGCATCTTGATATGATGATTGTTTCACACTTTAGCAACCAACACTTTCAGACATGACAGTTTACGAGTTAAACTTTTCCCTACAAGTGGAGTTGTTGCTAAGTAGAATAGTTCATCCTGAGTATCGCCAAATAATGGTGGAGGTGAGGTTATTCAGTAACAGACTAATGAGCTCAAGAGTTATTTTTTAAAACGTGATGGTGTTTAAAAAACATCATCAAAGTATATCTACAAAGCCAACATGCATATAGAGTTGAAATATAATAATTTATTGAGTGATGATTTGAGAAAATGTAATGCACAGCAACAGTGTCTTTTCCAATTATAAGTGTCTACATTTGTAATATTATGCATAGTAGAAGAATATTTCAATACTGTATCTTCATCTTGGAAGTTCAAATATGAACCAATAGGATTTTGATAGTTAGACATGGGAAAAATTTATTTTCTACCCAAACAAAATACAAAAATGTCCCTGTATATCTTAAATCTATGTAAGAAAAATATGTTTTCTTCCAACATTTATGGTTATGTTCATTCTTTTTTTTTTCTTTTTTCATGCAGAAAACTAAACTTTTATTCAAAAGATATCTGGGAAATTCTTAATATTGTAATCTACACTTATAGGCCTTCAGTAGCTTTCCTCAAATATCTGAAAATGAAATATTATAAGAAAAAATTGTATTGCACTTCATAAGATGTCATAATATTGTACTGATTATACAGGGACAATTATTATATTGAGTTTAGTGAGTAGATCATTATAGTTTATTTACTTCTCTAGTTTTAGAGTATACAATATTAATATTGCCAAAAATTAGGTTTTGATAGCTGTGGTGGGCAAAGCACAGGTAGCCCATCATGTGGCTTTGTGCTTAACAACAAAACAAAAAATAATCTTAATATAAAGTAATTATTATGTAATCTTTCACAAATCTGATTTAGACAATTAAGCAGTGTGTTTTATCAGAAATTAAATAATTCTCTATTTCTTGAAGCTCATATTTTTCAACAATAATGCTTAAAAGAAATAACATTGAAATATTCAGATTTAAGAGAAATGTAGGACAAGATATGTACGATATGCACAAATTACATCTACTAAATAATGCTGATAAAAGCTGGAACTAAAGATATTCTTTCTTTGTGTTTAATAAGTAATGAAAAACAATTGAATGAAATGTCTTATACAAAAATTATATAAAACATATGTGATGTCTCTTTATATTTAGCTAATAATGGTTGTTAATCTTATTCTGGAGAGAAATCCTGAGTTGTCATTTGAAGAGACTGTAGATTTAGATAAGGTATGTAGAATTTGTATTCATAGAATCTTATAATAGGATAAATAGACCAGAATATGATATTTTTAAACATGTTAAAATATCTGTCTAAAAGACTTGTTATATCTTTGTATATTAAACTTAAGGTTCACTTAAATCTTCATAAGAAAATAAAAATGTAATATTAAGTTTATCTGAAAATGTACATAAAACTAGTGATGTGTAATTTTGCAAGTAGAGGCACTAGAATTCACTCTGTAATGTTTATACAATTTTTCATTATCTTTTTCAGTTAGTTCATGAGGCCTTTATTTTGTTCCAAGGAGATGAAGGTAGTACCTCTGAAAAGAACACAAACATGAGTGCATTTTACAATGCATCATCAACTGTTACTGCCAGCAATCTGGCACGTGCTGTCATGAATCATTTGCTGAAATATGGGCCTCAAAGCTTTAATGCTCAAGAATTGTGCAGGATTTCTTAGTCTATAAAATAGGTCTTTAGTTATGACCTGTTCTTTGTACTTCTTTATATTGTGTTCCTTTGATCTCTGTGTAAGAGTTTTTGTCAGTTTTGAGCTAATGCCACGTTACAAGGTGTGTGAATGTATGTATGTATATGTGGGTGTGTGTGTCAAAGAGTATATTTTGACTAATAACCTTTTCTTTCTTTTATTTATATATCTATAACTTCCAAACCAAAAATTTTAAAACACAGTATCTGTTTTTGTATTGCAGTGAGGAAAGTTAATTTTCACTTGTGGTAAGGCCTATTTATTAACACAAAAGGAAGGAAAATCTGCACTCTTACTTTGATTTTTCAGTAAACTGTTGAAATTTGTGTAACTTAGTATTGGGTCAAAACAAGTTCATAATATTGATCCATAAATCTAATTTACTTCTTGAAATAAAGATTATAAATCTTTTTAACCAATAACTTATTTTGAACCCCCCCCCCCCCCCATTTTCTTGTTTTCAATGAAGTATTTTATGGGGTGTTAATTGAATTTTCATTCATTAATTGTGATAATTTCTGAAATGTATGCTAGAGGAATGTACAGTTAATTTAAAATAACATTGTTTACAAAATAAAAAAATTAAAGTCTGGATGTTTAAAGTTAGTATCCTATTAGAATTTAATGTTTATTATACTAAAATTTTTAAATATCAACATTTTGGAATTTTGATTACATGAAATGACATTATCAAGGGACAACCTTAACTTATGCTATTAATAAAACAGGTGTTAATTGAAATAGTCTTATTTGAAACAAAAAATAATAATTTTTATTCATCTGTTAATGATATGTTTGTTATTGAACATAAATAACAAATAAGAACCTTAAGGAAACTTTTTTTTTTTTATCTGAGGCTTGTAGGCCTTTTATATGATGCATGTTCAGTTATTTAGTAGAATTGTTTGGATATTTTTGGAACAAAATTTGTAATGCCAACTGTCATTAAATAGAACTTTGTTTTCAGAAAAAAAACAGGAGTTGTTATATTTTATTCTGTATGTGTACTAAAAATTAGAAAGCATACTTAAAAACTATAAAATTTACAAAATGTTTAAAGGAGGGTATATTGTTTAACCATAGCTGCTGTTTAGTACTACATTAAAAAGACAACTACCAACAAGAATCCTAATGGAACCATCTACACATCTAGTTTGATGCTGAATTTCTTAAGTAATTCAAATAAGTTTCTTGTGTAATTGATTCACTAACAATTTGACAGGAAGAAAAAGTTTAAATCTATCACTTAATAAAATAATGAAATGTAACCTTGTTGTCCATGCTACACTGGTGTAGAACAGTGTTTTCTAAGCTGGATTATATGCAAGAATCATTAGCTAGAATGAACGTATATCCCCAGAGAAGAAAAAGTATTCGAAGGAAGAATCTCCCTGAAATAGTTTCCAGTTTGAAAAAATTAACACCAGAATACTCTTATATTTAATTTCTTATAATTATTTTATAAGAAAAATGGATTAGAAATACATGTATATATTAGGAATAGATATACATCTAGCTATTATTAGCTTAGGTATAGCATGACTGCACTGGTGCAGTTGCCATAGCTATGATCTTGAACGTATGTCTTACAGCATCTTCCTGTTATTTTTTTAACAATAATTTTCCAAAATGGATTAACTCCTACAAGAACTACAGTTGGCAATAATACAACAAGTCTCTCTAGTATTGCCTGTAACTGTAATTATGATGGGTACGTGATTTGATTTACAAAATATAGCCACTTTTTCATTTTCATATGCAAGTCAAATGTTGCAAAACAGACTGTTACTATTTCCAAATTAAACATTAAGGTCATATTTACACTGTTTGTTTATTTTTCGTGGATTTTTAGTAAATGTTATTGCATTTTAAAACTGATTTAACTGAGCCCGTTTCATTTTGTATTTCAACCAAAATTGTTCATGTTGGCCTGGCATAGCCAGGTGGTTAGGGTGCTCGAGTGATCTGAGGGTCGCAGGTTCAAATACCTATCCCAACATACTCGCCCTTTCAGCCTTGGGGGCGATATAATGTGATGGTCAATTCCACTGTTAATTAGTAAAAGATTAGCCCAAGAGTTCACGGTGGGTAATGATGACTAGCTGCCTTCCCTCTAGTCTTTCACTGCTAAGTTAGGGACAGCTAGTGCAGATAGCCCTTGTGTAGCTTTGCATGAAATTTACAACAAACCAAACGTTTTCACATAGCATACTTAGCCTCTGTATAGGGGAAGCTAAGAAAGGGCACAACGGACGTAAATCAATAATGATGCTCTGTTCATGTCGTTGTTGAGTAATTCCTACCATTAGATTTTAAAATTTGAGTTTGTTTTGACTCTTGGACTGTGGGGGATAGGATTTGGACAGTACAAGTATGTCAATTTAAATGCTTTAAAAATTATATATGGACCAAGAGAATGTTAATCTTGAGTATACAGATTAGAAGATAGCAAAGAAATTATTAGGGGTGTATCATCTATGCTATAAAATGTGGATAGAATAAACCTTTTTTCCATAGGAATTGGGTTTTTGAAGATAAAGAAAATACTGAAAAACTGTTATAAAATGTGCTGAAAATATATATGTAAATATATCATGAACAACAATAGTGGTTCATATTAGGGATCGCAATGAATTGCACAAAACACCAATGGAAATTCCAGCAAAAAAAGCACCTTAAACAGTAAAGATTTAGTTAAAACAACACTTTAAATACTTTACCATTGATTGATAAGGGTGTACAAATATAAAAACTCACACCTGTTAGACATACAAGGAAACTAAAATTCGCTCAAAACGTCCCGTTTGTGATTCTTATTATTATTTTCTTGCCAGTCTGCAACAAAATTGGCTGGATATATTGCACCCAAAGCTTTTGTAGAATACTAAATAAGGTACTGTGAAGGTCTTGAGGGTATTGAAAAGTCATTTGTTTCTTCTATATTTTCATAAGCTAAAAAACATCATCATTCTAGTGTGAACAGTTTTATTATTATCCCTTGAAGTTAGCTTTTTTACAAATATCTGGCGGCCCTTTAAAAATCTTAAGTACAAGTTGAACCAGGAATTACTAACCAATAATAGATGAACATTAGATGATTAACATGTAGATACTCTGTACACTATACAATCAGTATTTTTAGGGAGCTAACCCCTACATATGAAGTGAAGGAGTAAAAGAAAAATCAATACACATATTAAATTTTATTGAACACATTTGTAGAATAATTACTTTAAAAGACATGAAGGTTTATTTAAAGCGATGTTTCATTTGAAAAGGCTGCTTTTCTACTGGTAAAATTTTATACGTGCTTAGTGGGGGTTGTGTCTTAGTCTAGGCATATATTTACCTATCGCTATGTATTATATATATAATTTTGTTACGCAGAAACTATAAATTCTCACAATGTTCTCTCAATAATCAATAGCTACAGTAAATCATCATGAACCATATCAGCTAGCTACTAGTTATGATGAAACTTCAACATAGTTTTATTATGAATACTCTGCCTAAAGGATATATCAAATAATAGCTACTAGTTATGTTTGTTATCATTACAACTTATAAAGTTAGCTACCATATCAAGTAATCCTATGACCGTAGTTGGGCATTAAAAAAACAAAAGCCAGCAAAAATGATACATACAAAATTGAGAATTTTAAAACCTGCAAATAGGGATCGTAAAAAAGTAAGCAAGCAATGCTGGATGTATTGTAAACATTATTTACCTAAAGTACAAATCCCTATTTTGACTCCACCAAAATGTAAGTCTAGATAAGACCTTTACTTTACAGAATCAACCAGATTCTTTAAAATATATTGTTACGACAGCGGAAGTCACGTGACCCTAGTAACACGTCATGATATTCTAGAAGGATCATGTCTTCTCCACGCGCCCTCTATTTTTGTATATATAAGACCGCGAAAAGTGACGGCATGGATAATTTGCAGATAGGGAGATATAGAAACGGATAATCGAATCAAGCCGTAAGTAAAGGGTGTAAATTGTTGTGAATTATAGCGTGTGTTTAAGTTAAAGTGACTATGGAAATTTTGTGTATTATAAAGTTGTATCGAGAAATAATAAACTAGTTTTAATTAAGAAAGGACTTGTATCGCTAAAGTTTCTCGGAAAGAATTTCTACGGAAAATTAACAAACAAACAGAGACGTAACAATATGGTGGTGGTTTTCCTCTTTAAAATAGTGTCAATAGCTTCCTTTATAGTAATGCCATGGAATTTAGATTTACAGTTTCTTGTAATCAACTCCATGCAATCGGTACAGCCGTATCAAGTATCATTATTTATGCTAATAGCTTAAGCTAATATCACGTGACGCTAAACGCTCTTTAATTAGAATAATTTCATAAAATTTAATTAATTTGTGCTGAAAAGTTGGCAATTAATAATAATCGTCCACCCGTATGATTCTTTTGAAAACTTGAGCTAGAAACTGCTAATCTAGTCTGCTTGGCCTAACCAATATTTACGTATCTGCACGTTCTTTCATCTTATAGTTTTTCTTCTCTAAATCAGCCGTCTTTAATCCGAATGACAAAAAACTATAAACGGTCCACTTTTACTCTTAG